GGTGGTGCTGCCACCCGAAAAGGCATTGGGCAGGCTCATGGGCATCTGCAGGGACTCCATACTGCGGTGCAGGCCAGAGAGCTTGGGGTACATCCTGCCCTCCTTGGGGACGCTGAAGCCGCCCATGAGCTCCAGGCCCTGGGAGAAGCTGGCCGAGTTGATGTTGAGGATGGGGGCAGGGCTGGGACTGAAGCAGGGTGCAAGGTGCCCGCCAGCAGGGTGCAGGTCCTGGAGCTTGGCAGTGTGGGGTGGGGGCAGCTCGCTGGAGGAGGGCAAGTCCAGGCTGTTGGAGTTGACCTTGTCCAAGTTAGCCAGCGAGGGAGGCTTCACGTAGGTCTTGGAAGCCGCTCTGGACAGGGGAAATGGGTAAGGAAGCAAGTGAGACTCAGGTGCTGGTTCTAGGCACAGTTGTGCTGGGCACGGGTTGCCCTCAGAGGTGGAAGAACCATACCTGAGAGGTGTGGGGGGCAGCTCGGCCACCTTGGCCGCCGGCGGGAGGGCGGCCTGGGCTTTTGGGGTGCTCTCTGGTGAGCTGACACTCTTCAGCGTCCCACACTCGGAATCAAGCGCCACAGCCTTGGCCTTGGCCTTCTCCTTCTCGCGATCTGTCTGGTTCACAGGGGCTGGTGTGCCACGGCCGGCACCAACCTTGGATGGTTCCTTGAGCCGTGACACCGAGATGCCACCCTGCTTGGTGCTCAGCAGGCTGGGGTCGATGCTGCTGCTGACCGGCCGGGCTGCGCTGCGGCCACCGGTCACACTCATGGAGCTGGACTTGGCCGGCCGGGGCAGGCTGCGATACTGGATGTTGGTGCGAGCCCCTGGGGCCAGGAACCCAGGCTCAGCCGCGTTGGAGACATCCAGGCTGGTTTTCCTCCCACTGACCGGCTTGACAGGGATGCTGGAGCTCTTCTGGATCTTGCCGAGCGTGGCTGAGCCCCCAGCCTGCATGACAGTGGCCGTGCCAGTGGCAGGAGCTGGTTTCTTGTAGCCAAAGGAGCTGGAGGCCGAGGGGCGTGTGAGCCCCGAGGGAGGTTTCTTGGCATCGGCAGTGCGGTCACGGCCGGCATCGGAGGAGGAGCGCTGCAAGCCTGTGCTCTTCACAGACAGCTTGCTCTTGTCTCGGGCTTGCCTGGTGGCAGGGAAGGACGCTTTAGTGTCCCAGGACACTCGGGGGTGAACACTTTGGGCACATTTGGAGGTGAATGTGCCCAGAGGAGGACATGGGCATCAGACATGCAGGGATGTGATGGAGAAGAAGGGACGTGCCAGGCTCCCAGTGCACCCAGCTAGCCCCCAGTCTGTTACATGGACACGAAGTCATGGGGCAGGCACAGCCCCCCAACCTGGGATGCACAGCCCTGCCTTCCTCCCCAGCCCACATCCAGCTCCCGGGTCTGGAGCACCCACAGGGCACCCCATGGCCAACACATTCGGGGAAGGTGCACGAAGATGCCACTCAACTCCTTCCGCATCGAAGGAGCTGTACCCTGCCCAAATCTGGCCTCACCTGCCACTTTGAGTGTGCTCTGGGCCGTGTGGGTGATGGGGGAAGTCACAGCCACTGGAGGGGTCTTGCCCTTCTTGAGGGAGCCTGGGGTGCCCAGGCTGACAGGCTTCTTCAGCTCGCTGCCCTTGCTCCCCTCCTCGCCACCCTCCGAGGGCTCCCGTCGCCACTTGGAGGAGCCATGCTCCATCTTGAGGCTGCTGCTGTCGTAGTCCAGCTTCTTGGGTGCCTTCTCCTCGCCCTCACAGTACCAGCTCAGCCCACTCTCTGCCAGCGAGCGCTTCTCAGAGTCCGTGCGCAGCTGTGGGCAGAGCAGAGTTAGGGGTGCTCCTGACACCCACCCCAAATCCAAACCCATGCTCCGGGAGCATCAGCCAGCTGGGAGGATTCTCTGGACACCCTGTGCTGTGCCTGTTTCCCCATGCTGGCACCCTCCAGCCCCTCTTTCCCGCCGAGGTGGTGGCACCAAGCCAGGACTGGTTCCAGGAAGGGTCTGGGTGCTGCTGGCACCTACCGCTATGGCCGAGTTCCTGCGTGAGGCAGTGGGGGTGGAGGGCAGGGAGTTGAGTGAGGAGCTAGCGTTGAACTCCTCTGAGCTGAGGTTGTCGGAGGCATCGCTGAGGCCACTGCTGATGGAGCTGCTCTCATCCCAGCTGCGAGGAACAGACAGTGTCAGACCCCTGCCCAGCCCAGTGGGTCCCATGGAATCTCCCTGCTACAGGGGCTGCCAGGGTGAAAAACAGCTCCTGGTAGTGCCCACAGCAGGGACCTGGCACACAGCGGCCACGGCTGGCTTCAGCCCAGCCTAGCACAGGCTCGGTGCCCTACTGGCACACAAGCTCCAGTGACCCTGCATCTCCCTGTTATGGTCTGTGGAGGTTTTGGGAAGACAGAGAATACCTGTGCAGCACCCACGCCGCAGGGCTGGCAGCACCACAGCTGGCACCAAGCCCCCTTCAATGTGCCCAGCCGAGAGGCTTAGGCTAGTTGGAAAGACCAGGGACTGCTGGAATAAATAAACCAGACACCCCACAGCATCCACCCTTTCTTGGGTCGCCCTCACCCACCACACCCCACTCTCTCCCCAGTGCCAGCAGCACAGGCAGCAGGTACAGGCACTGCTGCTCTGCCGAGGCAGCTGCTCCGTGCCAGGGCTCAGCGGGGCGTGCACGAGCCCATCTGCAGGGCCGTCAGTCAGTGCCGTGCCGGGAGCTGCCCGGGTGCCCCACGGGCCCGGACGGCTCCACAGCGCAGGGCTGTGCCCACAGCGATCCGGCACAGACGGGCACAGAGCACCTTCCAGCAGGATGAGCATGGTACCTTTCAGGTCAGCAGCTGAGTAGGTCAGCAAGGCCCCGCAGCCTCAAGAGGCTGCAGGAGACAACACTGGAACAGGCTGCCTAGAGACACTAGTAGTGGAATAGCATTTGTTATGCGCTTGGAGGCAGAAGGAGACAGTGCTGATGGTCTGATTGTTGAAGATGTCCCTGCTGATTGCAGGAGGGTGGCATTTTAAGGCTCCTTCCAACCCAAACCATGCCGTGGTTCTGTGACAAGCAGCAGTGCAGGAGCAGGGAGCAGAGCTAGCAGAGCTGAAGCCAGACCCAGTCCCAGCCAGAGACGCCTGTTTCTCCATGCTGGGGCCACAGAGGTGCAGAAGCAAACACCAGAGCCCCAGCAGCTGGTGAAGCCATTTAGTGTCACTCAAGTGACACTCTGACTTTGGAGAAAGGACAGCATGGCCAGGCAGAGCAGAGGGTGCCTGTGCCAACTGCAGTGACAGGGCACAAGCAACAGCCACCACCATCCCCTCCAGGACGCTCAAAGCCTGAAGCAACACAGCCCACAGGTGGTGCTGTCCAGGAAGGGATTTCACTAGGATCATGTGGCCGGGATATGTTCCTGGGCTGCTCAGCTCCAAGCATCTCCCACCACCAGCCCTGTACTGGAGGTGATTTCCCACTGGGACAGATATCCCCACCCCAAGACCCCACAGCGAAACTCCTCTCCCAGCCTGGCATCGCCTGGCAGCAGGCAGTGCCAGGAGCAAGGGCAGGCTTTAGAGAGCTACATCCTGTGGGGACATGGCTGCAATGCTGGAGCCTGACTTTCAGGGTCTGGCAGAGAACCCCCAAACCCACACCTAGCCACTCATAGGAAGCCCGCACTGCTCTGGCCCCAGGCATCCATACAGCCACAGGGAAAGGGGCACAGGGTCAGGACTGAACCAGGGCAGGAGGTGACCCCCAGATCCTCCTTGGCAACCCTGTGCCAAGGAAGGACAACAGAAGGTCACAGGTGACATTCCAAAAACACTCACACCATGGGTGAGGCTAAGGTGCCAGCTGCACGTTCTGGAGTGTCTCTGACTCTCTCATGGGGCACACAGCTGGCACGCTGAAGGATCCCCAAAACTGGCACATGTATGCCATAGGTAGCGCAGCAAGGAAAGCCTCAACCACAGCACCACTGGCTCCTCAGCAAGCACAGCCCTTGAAGCATGGCTGAGCCCCGGCACACCGAGTGCCCACCCTGACCCCCCGGACTGGAGGTGATCACATCATAGTGTCACCCCGGGGGCAAAACTCACCCCCTGCTTTGTGCTCCATCCCCTCCATCTTACTCAGACCCATCCCCAGCTCCCACAGACGGCCCCGCACCGAGCCCACCGCAGGCAGCCCCGCGGCAGCTCCCGGGGACGGGGATGCTCAAGGGCAGCACGTCC